TCGTTTCAGGTCTCACCTTCAGGTCTTTGATCCACTTTGAGTTAATTTTTGTGAATGGCGATAGCAGATGGTCCACTTTCATTCTTTTGCATGTGGCTGTCCAGTTTTCCCAACACCATTTATTGAAGAAACTTTCCTTTCTCCATTGTATGTTCTTAGTTCCTTTGTCAAAAATTAGCTGTCCGTATATGTGTGGTTTTATTTCTTGGCTTTCAATTCTGTTCAATTGATCTGTGTGTCTGTTTTTGTACCAGTACCATGCTGTTTTGATTACTATTGCTTCGTAGTATGTTTTGAAGTCAGGGATTGTGATGCCTCCTGCTTTGTTCTTTTTTCTTAGGATTGCTTTAGCTATTCGGGGTCTTTTGTTGCCCCATATTAATTTAGTATACTTTCTTCTATTTCCGTGAAGAATATCATTGGGATTCAGATTGGGATTGCATTGAATCTGTATATTGTTTTAGGTAATATAGACATTTTAACTATGTTTATTCTTCCACTCCATGTGCATGGGCTGTCTTTCCATCTCTTTATGTCGTCATCGATTTCTTTCAATTATGTCTTGTAGTTTTCATTGTATAGGTGTTTCACCTCCTTGGTAAGATTTATTCCTAGATATTTTATTATTTTTCATGCAATTGTAAATGGTATTATCTTTTTGAGCTCTTTTTCTGTTAGTTCGTTATTAGCATACAGAAATGGAACTGATTTTTGTAGATTGATTTTGTACCCTGTGACTTTGCTGAAGTTGTTGATTATTTCTAATAGTTTTCCAATGGATTCTTTAGAGTTTTCTATATATAAAATCATGTAATCTGCAAATAGTGAGAGTTTCACTTCTTCGTTACCTATTTGGATTCCTTTTATTCCTTTTTCTTGCCTAATTGCTCTGCCAAAACCTACAGTACTATGTTGAATAGAAGTGGTGAGAGTGGGCAGCCCTGCCTCGTTCCTGCTCTCAGAGGAATAGCTTTCAGTCTTTCCCCGTTGAGTATGATGCTGGCTGTAGGTTTGTCATAACTGGCCTGTGTTATATTGAGGTACTTTCCTTCTATACGCATTTTGTTGAGAGTTTTTATCATAAATGGATGTTGTATCTTGTCAAATGCCTTCTCTGTGTCTATTGAGATGACCATGTGGTTTTTATTCTTTTTTTTGTTGATGTGGTGTATCACATTGATTGATTTGCAGATGTTGAACCATCCCTGTGTCCCTAGTATAAATCCCACTTGATCATGGTGTATGATCTTTTTAAGTATTGCTGTATTCGGTTTGTCAATATTTTGTTGAGGATTTTTGCATCTATGTTCATCAGCGATATTGGCCTATAATTTTCCTTCTTCGTATTGTCTTTGTCTGGCTTTGGTATCAGGGTGATGTTGGCCTTGTAGAACGATTTAGGAAGTGTTCCATCTTCCTCTATTTTTTGGAATAGTTTGAGAAGGATGGATATTATATCTTCTTTGAATGTTTGGTAAAATTCACAGGAGAAGCCATCTGGTCATGGACTTTTATTTTTGGGGAGGTTTTTGATTACTATTTCAGTCTCTTTACTTGTGATTGGTCTATTCAGATTCTCCATTTCTCCTTGGTTCAGTTTTGGGAGGTTGTATGAGTCTAAGAATTTATCCATTTCTTCTAGATTGTCCAATTTGTTGGTATATAATTTCTCATAGTATTCTCTTATAATCCTTTGTATTTCCGTGGTATCCATTGTAATTTCTCATCTTTAATTTCTAATTTTATTTACTTGAGCCTTTTCTCTTTTTTTCATAGTAAGTCTGGCTAAGAGTTTGTCAATTTTGTTTATCTTATCAAAGAACCAACTCTTTGTTTCATTAATCCTTTCTACTGTTTTTTTGGTCTCAATTTCATTTATTTCTGCTCTGATTTTTATTATTTATCTCCTTCTGCTGACTTTGGGCTTTGTTTGTTATTCTTTTTCTAGTTCTGTTAGGTGTAATTTAAGGTTGCTTATTTGGGCTTTTTTTTTGTTTGTTAAGGTGGGCTTGTATTGCTATGAGTTTCCCTCTCAGGACCGCTTTTGCTGCATCCCATATGGTTTGGTATGGCATATTTTCATTTTCGTTTGTTTCCAGATAGTTTTTGATTTCTCCTTTAATTTCATCAATGATCCATTGGTTGTTCAGTAGCATGTTGTTTAATCTCCACATTTTTGTCACTTTCCCAGTTTTTTTTCGTGGTTGGATTTCCAGTTTCATAGCACTATGGTCTGAACAGATGCTTGTTATGATTTCAATCTTCTTAAATTTATTGAGGCTTGCTTTGTTTCACAACATATGGTCATCCTTCAGAATGTTCCATGCGTGCTTAAGAAGAATGTGTAGTCAGCTGTTTTTGGATGGAGTGCTCTGTATATGTCTACTAGGTCCATCTCGTCCAGTTTTTCATTTAAGTCCACTCTTCCTTCATTGATTTTTTTTGTCTGGATGATCTATCCATTGATGTAAGTGGGGTATTAAGATCCCCTATTATTATTGTGTTGTTGTTAATGACTCCTTTTAAGTTTGTTAATAGTTGCTTTATGTACATTGGTGCTCCTATGTTGGGTGCATATATATTTACATGTGATATGTCTTCTTGGTGGATTATCCCTTTTATCATTATATAGTTCCCTTCTTTGTCTTTCTTAACCTGTTTTATCTTGAAGTCTACTTTGTCTGATATGAGTATGGCAACACCTGCTTTCCTTTGTTTGTCATTAGCTTGGAGTATTGTCTTGCATCCTTTCACTCTGAGCCTGTGCTTGTCTTTAGAGCTGAGATGTGTTTCCTGGAGGCAGTGTATTGTTGGGTCTCGCTTTTTAATCCATCCTGCCACTCTGTATCTTTTGATTGGAGGAGTCAATCCATTCACATTTAGGGTAATTATTGATATATGAGGGCTTAATGTTGCTGTTTTGTCACTTATTTTCTGGTTCTTTTGCATTTGCTTTGTTTCTTGTCCCATGTGTTTTGGACTGCCAATTGTTTGGTTGTTCTGTCTTATGACTCTTCTAGTTTTCTCTTTGTTTATCATATGTGATTTTGTTTTGATTATTTGTTTAGTGGTTACCTGGAGGTTTGTATAAAAAATCTTGTGTATGATACAGTCCATTATCTGATGGCCTCCTATTTCCTTATACTAAGTCAATTCAATCACTTTCCTCTTCCCCTTCTACGTCGTTCTTGTTATACCTTATTCTATCTTGTCTTGTGGGTGTATGTTATAGTGATGAGGTTACATTTATTTTGGGGGTTTCCACCTTTTTTTTAACCACTTGGACAACCACACTCACTTTCATTCTGTGCTTAGAACCTATGAGTCTTTGTATTTGCAGCCCTGTTCTAGAGGGAACGCTCTGATTTTGAAAGAGCCTCACCCAGTGACAATGTTCTTAGTTTTTCTAGGGCCCAGTGAATTATCTTCATTTTACAAGGATGTTTGGCTTCCCTGTGACTAGAAAAATCTATCTCTCAACCTTCCTTAGGACTTCACAGGAGGAGCTGTGTCCTCTGGAGGTCCAGCCAGCTGGTCAAAGTCCAGTGTGACCTCATGCTCGCCAAATGTATGTCTTCTACATTTCCCGATTCTGCTAAACTGAGGAGAGAAAGCATGTCTAATGCCTTGTGAAAGAAACCATAACATCAAATTCAAATAAAAGCTATTTTACTTATGAGTTTGCGCCTGTTCTCTCCTCGCTCCTCCTTTCCTCTCTCCCCGCTGCACCTCCTGCCTAGCTAACAGATCAGCAACTCCTGTGTGTTGAAAGCAGATGACTTCCCAAGTCACTCTCCTCTCTGCTGCTCCCTTTGGCTCCTGTTATCACCATGATATGATCACACAATGTGTGAGAACCATGGTGATTTCTATAACAATTAACAGTCCTTTCCTAAATAAAAGGGGGTTACCTACTGTTAGGAACTCAGAAAGGACTGTGACCTAAGTTCTCCCGTGAGGCTAGTACAATTTTGGGAAGGTCTATTCACAGCAACTTCCTAATTAAACCTCTACATTTTACAGATGAGGAAACAGAGATTCACAGAAGTTAACAACTTGCTTCAAGTCATGCAGGTTGTTTGTGTAATAAACTCTAAAACTGCAGTATAATGTTCTTTCTGCCTGCTATTCTACACTGGATACCACCACAGCCCATGGGAACATGACCTCCATAAAGGCAGAAATCGTCTCTGTCTTGCTAACTAATGTCTCCCCAATGTTTGCCATAGAAACTACATATCTTTTGAATTAACGAATAAACTATACTGGAGTTTTTCAGACTGTGATACACACTGTGGTATATGAAGTCATAGGGAAAAGATAGGCATAGTTAAATGAGATGTTAATTCAGATTTGTCTGTCTAGTGGATTAGCTTATATATTATAACTAATAATTAAAAATTTTACTTTTAGATTAATTTATATTGTGAATGGTAAATTTGCATGATTTTAAAAATAAGGTGAGACTGCGTCAAAGTCACTACATATTCAAACAGAACTTTGGACCTCTACCCCAGAGAATCTCTGTTCCAAGATCTTCCAATTATTATAGAAAAGCTAGAAAACTATTTTTTAATGTGATGTCTGACTTTTAAATGTTGACAATTAACTCAGGGGTTTTTAAAAATTTGTGTGGAGGGATCGGATCCGTGGCTTAGCAGTTAAGTGTGCATGCTCCACTACTGGTGGCCCGGGTTCAGATCCTGGGCGCGCAATGATGCACCACTTGTCCGGCCATGCTGAGGCGGAGCCCCACATACAGCAACTAGCAGGATGTGCAACTACGACATACAATTATCTACCGAGGCTTTGGGGAGAAAAAAGGGAAAAAACAGATGTTAGATGTTAGCTCAGGGCCTGTATTCCTCAGCAAAAAGAGGAGGATTGGCATGGATGTTAGCTCAGGCCGGATCTTCCTCACAAAAAAAAAAAAATTGTTAAAAAATAAAAAGAAAACTTGTGTGGAGCAAGAAATACAAATGCTTGTTCCTGAGTACCTGTCATAACACCTGTAAAAATATATACGTTTGGACAGGAAATAGATGCTGGAGAAGACCAGACAGGTACTGGTTGTCATGGCAGCTGTCATCCTGGTCCGGGGTGCTGGAGGGGAGAAAGAAGGCAAGAGACGTGATAGGTTAGGACAAATTTCGCCTTAAATATCTCCTTCTGTAGGCAACCTCTAAATGAGGACAACGTATTTAGATGCTTTGTAAAAAGCATAATCATGTCACAAAAAGAGAGGAACTAAAGAGAGGTGATTTGAGGAACATTTCAAATCTATTCTGTTGTGCAAGTAGTCATTAGTATGATTATGGAAATAAATCTAAATTAAATAATTCATTCTATCTCATTGAGTAGTGATAGCTTTTTTGAGAAAAATCAATGAAAGTCATTTTTATTACAAGTAGATTAAAGCATGGTTTATGGTAATGATTGCATAAATGTATGAATGATTCTGAAGATTTAACAAGTCATCAATGGATTCACTTATTTGGTCTGAAGAGAACTAGATAATTTTCTCTCCTCAATCAAACCAACACAAGTTTAATAGATTTTCTTATTGCCCTTTTTGTTTTATAATTTTTAATGTGCTACATAGTCTATCTTAATTTATTCTAAAGAATAGAAGATGTATATGCTGTTAATGAATGACGTATCTAGACATTCTATATGAATTGAACTAAGGTTTCCTTGCCAAACCCCCTCCTGTGCTGACACAGCCCCTGCTGTTCCTGTCTGTGATGGAGTCTCTCCCCAACGGCCCTATCTCATGGTGAGGTTTTTGTGGGGCTCTCACAGGATCCCACATCACTATGGCCTCTCTCAGAGTGCAGAAATACACTGCTGAGTCCCCGAGCTGTGAGGCTGTGATGGTCACGCTGGTGGAACTGGCTGGTTTCTGGAAGTCTGGAGAATACTGACCCTCTGTTGTATTTTGTTCATTGTAAGACTCCTGATGAATAAGGAAAACCATTTTCCCACTTGGTAGCTGTTTGTATCAGAATAAATAATAACTGTAACTACAGCTTCATATATACTGTCCAAGTTTGCAGCCTCCTTCTCCACTACAGAAATTACAGACTGGGCTTAGTTACCTTTTGGGTCATGCTGTATCCAGCATGGAAAGAGGAAAGAAATAGACTGATCCATTCTTTGTAACCATGAGGGTATAAGGGATGAATTGGCTTTAGGACCCACTGCTCTGGTTGCATTGTCCATTATCTCTCCCTATTAAGCCTCACCAGACAACAATTATCTGCCTCTCCCCGCAACCTTCAGAACTGAGAGGAGCTTGAGTCCTGTGTTTGTGGCCGTCCTTACCAAGACACATAGAGGCTGTGACTGCCCTCAGCACATTGGCGATCAGCTTATTGGTAGCTCTTCTCTTGAGTGAAATGTCCTCTATTCCATCTCAAATCCAGATCTTAATTCTGAACCCTGTGCTCAAGAGGAATGGGCAAAGTTCCTGGGCTGTGTGATGCATCTACCCCCTTAAGGGAAATAGAGTTAGCAGATATAGGACAAGTTTGCCTGTGTCTTGTCACATGTTTCCTGTATAGGAGAGAAATGCTAGACACCTGAGCACCTATTTTGTCTAATTATAACTTATTGGACTGGAAATAAACAGTGGTAAAACTGAATCATGTTCAGTTCATTCTTCTTTGATGGAAAATGTGGGACTTTCATAGAATACAATTTATTATTAGCTGTGGTAAATACATGGAATAACATAGAATGCACCTTTTGGTCTCATATATGCCTCCTTTTCTCCTGAAAGAATCAAAACGAAAAGTAATCATGAGGTTTTGACTCTCTAACAGGAAGGCAAAACTTTTAGTCTCAATCTTTGTTCCTACCTTGTATGGAATCCACTAAAAGTTACACGAGAAATATTTTGTTGTTAATGAATGGCTTCACATCATGCCTCCTGAGTCACAAAGTTTGTCAAGTGCGTGTGCCATGTTTAGTGAGAGCAGGTAAAAAGGATACATGTATATATATACACACATTACGCGTGTGTGTAAACAAAAATAAACTCAGAAAATTCCACTCAATGCCTAAGTACAGGAACATCTGTTATAACTCAATACGTGTATTTCTGAAATACCTCCTGCTCTTCCAAACCACACGCATTAATTACGGCGGAAATTGGGATAAGGAAAACCCTAAAAACATACAACTTTGTAGCCAAAGCATTATCAAAAACAATAGAAATCCTATTAAAAATACCAGCAGAGTTCAATCTCCACTGACATTTGTCCCTTGCATCATAATAAACTCTTTGCTGCCTTAAATATTGGGACTTCTGTTTTACCTCTCTAGATATAGATCCATGAGAACATGTATTTCCAATAAGACCACGTTTATAAAAATTTTAAAAGTTATTATTATTAATAAATCAATATTTTCAACACTAGAGGTGGGGATAGCCCCAGTCTTTTTAATCCTCACTCTCAGCTTCACCAGGTAGCTTTACCTTGAGAACCCTAGAAATTCTTGAAGCCACTAAAACAAACTCTGCTAACACTAACGTAGAGTTGAGACCTTTTTAATAGTGAGAAACTTGCCCTTGATAGTTCTTTGGTTTGAAATGAATTATTAATGTGCTTAGGAAATCACAGAGAATCAAGGAATCTTCCACATCATATTGACACCATACATCTATTTAATAATTGTGTAAAAAGGAATTTATTTTAATGAGATATACACTGAAGCAGAACAGAAAATGCTGTGTCCTGCATTCTCAATGAGTAGACATACTTGCCATATCAAGTATTTTTGTTTGTATTTGGAAAATACAGTCCCCATTTCCATGACAAATACCTGTATGTCTCCTGATAACAGGCACTGAGGCTCAGCTATGGCTCCTGGAAGAGCCAGGCTATTCCATCAGAGAGCATCCGAGCAACTTCATGGTTCAAGAACACAGAAGATGATGACTGAGTTTTTGGCTTCAATATGCAGGTATATATAGACTCCTGTGAGTGCCAGTTGAGTAAACTATAGCTTTTAATATTGCATCAGATTCTTCTTCATCAAATGAAAGCATCAACAATTACAACATCTAAGAATACAATTATATTCTGGAGAAAAAAAGACAGACTTCTAGGTTGTTCTATCAACTAGTAGTTAAGAATATTGGTCATGCATCAGATAGATTTAGGTCCTGGCCCAAGCTTTGCTCTCAACTGGTTATGTAGCTTTGATCAAGTGACTTAACATCCCTAAACCTCAGTATTGTCATCTGTAAACTGAGAATTTGGTAATATCCATCTAGAGAGGTGGGGAGGAATTTAAAACACTTAGTCCATTGCCCATAAAACTGAAAGTGCCAGAAATACTTGGGAACAAATATAGTTCAGTGAGTGAATAAAATGATTTGTGAAAGAAGCATTATTTTAAGACTTGTGTGCTATTTTAATGCACCATGTTCTAAAATCGTAAAGCAGGAGACTCCATCTTGTAAACTCTATGCCAAACATTTACTAAAATGATGAGCACATGTGAGTAGGTGCTCAAAAAGTTTTCTTGAGTGAATGTAGGTGTAGCTAGGAATAATATCTCACTTTGATATAAATCATTACTTTTAAGGGATATTTTCTCATATATTTACTCATTTTTATATCCATAAAGAAATGTTGGTACCAAAAAAAAGCAAAACAAAACAAACAGAAATTTCCAATTCAAAATATGTTACAGTTTAAAATAACAGATCTCCTGTACAAGAATGCTCATAGTAGCTTTATTCATAATAGCCAAAAAGTAGAAACAACCGAAATGCCCATCAACTCATGAATGGATAAAGAAAACATGGGATTTTCATCCGATAGATTATTATGTGGTCATGAAAAGTAGTGACGTACTGATGCATGGATGTACCCTGAAAAGACTATGCTATATGAAATAAACCAGACACAAAAGGCCATTTACTATATGACTCTATTTACATGAAATGTCCTGAGAAGACAAATCCATAGAGACAGGAAGTAGATTAGTGGTTGCCCGTGGCTGGGGTAAAAGAGGAATGGTAGTGACTCTAAACTTGGGATTATTTTATCCATTTGGGGTCACAGTGAACAAGAAACCATGTGTATCCTTCTCTCTTTTTAAACAGACACCTGAATGTGTCCTTGAGCCCTGATTTTGACACACTTCAGAAGGATCACAGGCATAATGGCAATGGCAGAATAATACATTAGGTTACATAGTCACGGCCATGTCCAGAATCCACAACTCCTCATGGCACAGATCCTCAAGTCCAGAACCCTGATCATTATTTAATGTCACAACAAAGAGCTGCTATGATGACAGGAAGAAATGTGGAGATGTGTCAGCACAGAGGGAGCAAGACACACCATGGACGCTGCTTTTACTGACCAAACTGTTCTGAAACCAGTGCCCTTGACATAAGGAAAATCTCGTCAGGAAGCTCTCCTCGTAGAACATACTGAGGCAGCAGCATTTCTAGAGAGACCACTAGGGAAGGAAAAGTCAAGGGAAGAGAGACTAAAGGTTCCAGTTGCTGGAGTTGGGGTTTCTTTTTTCTTTTTTTTTCTTGTGAGGAAGATCAGCCCTGAGCTAACATCTGTTGCCAATCTTCCTCCTTTTTTTTCCCCCTTTTCTCCCCAAAGCCCCAGTAGATAGCTGTACGTCATTGTTGTACATCTCTCTAGTTGCTGTATGTGGGATACCGCCTCAGCATGGCAGGACAAGCGGCGCGTCGGTGCGCGCCTGGAATCAGAACCCGGGCCGCCAGTAGTGGAGCGCATGCACTTAACCACTAAGCCATGGGGCAAGCCCCCTGGAGATGGGGTTTCTGCAGGTGACACTCAGCAAGACATACAATCCTGGCCTGAATTGTGAAAACAAGGGATGTGCTTCAAGGCCACGCATTAATCCATGAACTGTTTGCTCGGGGAATTTTTATTAATAAGTTGTTAAATATTTCAGCATATACCAACTGAACTGTCATGGAGCAGAGTTAATGTAACTTCCCAGGAATTATATGCCATCTGGGGGAAAGAGGCTGGGCTGAAAACAGAGGCCTTTCTGGAGAACAGAGCTTAGGTTCCTCTTTACACTGTCTTTCCCCCAGTTCCTCTCTGCAGAGTAATCCAAGAATTCCAAGGTTCCTTGGCTCTGAGGCATCAGAGCTAGAAGTACTTTGAGGATGTCTCCAGCAGAGAACACTGGAGAGAGAAGGTAACACCCCCTCCCAGGGCTCCCACAGCCAGGCCCACCTGCCCTGTCTGGGTTTGTGCTCAGCTCCCCATGCAGTCCCCCTCTCTGTGTCTCTCAGAGCGCAGTAGTACACGGCCGAGTCAGTCATTTGCACTGAGGGTTTCTGCAGGTGGAAGGAGCTGTCACTCTTAACAAGATTGGCCCAAAAACCTCTGCTGCCCACCTCCTGGTTTTCTGATGAACTTTTCAGGAGGAGCTCAGGCTCTTTGTTTTGATACTGGACAAACCAGAAAAGGAAAACTGAATAGATGCTCTGGTAGGTGCAGTTCAGGGTTAGAGATGCCCCCTCGGGGAGGGTAACAGGGCCTTCTGTCTGGGTCACCGAGTCTCCATTGGTCCCTCCTGAGAAAAAGTAAAGGCTTTGTTATATTGACAATGTAAGAGGGATAGTCTGTAGTTTGGTAGGGGTTAAAAGCCATCCTAAAACCAAGGAATAGAACACTTTATAAATTTTGAATAAATGTTACTTACTCAATATCAACAGGACCACAAGTCCTGAGCAGGAAGCAGACAACATGACTGGAGGAGAAACAGCAGCAGGTTTTGTTTAGGAATACACCAAAGCTGAGAGGGCTATTCCTCTATTTTCCTGATCCTTTGGTGGAATCTTCTAGATAATCTTGTCTGTGTTTGAAGCAAGACAAACTGCCCTGCATGATTATGCCACAGGCTGTAGAATAAGAGGTGTGCTCAGAAATGGAAGATGAATTTGTGTCAAACCACCACACTAAGGGAGCAGCGCCCTCTTGTGGTTCCTCCTTTATCTCTACAGCCTGCTTCACATCTTTGAATTTGATATTTACCCCGGAATGGAGCTGAGGGTGTAGGCATAGAAGGGAAATAGGTGTCTGGGGTGAGGGGTAGGGCTCCAGGAAGGAAGCACCAAAGACTTTTTGCAGTGGTGTCTGAGGCTGAGACAGTGGGTAATTCCTCTGTCACCCTCTTTAAGATGCAGGGCAATGTGGCTCCCTTAAGTCTCCCTAGACCCAGCATCTAACGTCTGTTCACACTGAATATTAAGTTAGTTTTGGGCATCTTAGGATATACTGGGAGTGTAAATAAAAAGCATGACCTGAGTTCTCTTCTTGACATATTCCCCTACTGGTCCCCTGGAACCAGGGGACGAGCCCCTCTGCTTAGAATGTTCTCCCTTCTTTCCCTTACCTATGTCTAGGTAACTTCTAGTCATTCTTTAAGAGCCAATTTACATGTCACCTCCTTGAGAAAGCACTCACCCAGCTCTTCAGGCTGAGTGTGCCCATCTCTTTTCCCACTGTACCTTGTACACATATCTGTCACTGTCATTACTATATCACGTTAGAACCATCTATGTCCTGTTTTTCAAACTAGACTTGGTGTTCCTGAGATCAGGAATTTAATCTTATTCGTCTTGATAACCAATTTCTCAAAATATCTAGGCCCTTAGTTCATAGTAGATGCTCCAAAAATATCTGAAGCATGAGTGAATAAATGAATGAGTAGACATGTCTGGTGGGTACAATTATCTTTTTGTGAAGTAGAGTCTCTATGGCAGCATATGTCTTAGACCCCTGGTGTCACTAGCTTCTTCCAGAGTCAGATCCAGGACCTGGATAACAGGTGCAGTCAGCATTTCTCAAAATTGAATAAGGTTCAGATCTTCATAGAAGTGACCACTCGCATATTGACTATTTTAAAAATATTATGGTGCCTTAATATACACAAAAATGAAGTTAAGTATAAACTTCTTAGTCTCACAGGACTTACATAATTACCAAACTAAACAAAAAATGCAAGCAAAATATAAAATCAATAAAATTCAAATTAAAATATTAATGTGTGGGATGATCTTTAGCTGAAATTAAAGAGTTGGTATAGGCTTATTAGAAGAAAGCTATAGATGTGTGTAGTTCAATAACTCTCTTCATTGAAATGATTTGGAGCTTAATGTACTACTGTCAGAATTATTGTGACTAGCTAGTTCTAGTATTTTTACTTTCCCTTTTCAAAAATACCCATTTAAGCTACCATTATTCAATTGTATTATTTAACAAAGCACCCAAAACATCACCGTTGAAAAAAATAGGCATTGTTCATTTACTGCTATTCGTACATCTACTGAATTGCATGTTGATACATTCAAACAATGAATGTGAGCAATACATCTTTCAATGGAAATATGGAAGTGACTGTGGTAATTTAGGTTCTTCGGGGTCTGGCCTGTCCATAGCACCATGTGCCATATCGTAACCAAAATTTTCTGAACACTTTTCTCCATTTAAACAACTGTGATACCTTTATTTGTATGGTATCATTATTCCATTTGTCTTTAATTTGGTAAAAATGACATGAAGAACACAAAAGCATCAAAACCAAGAGGAATATTGTGTTGGTCATAGAGATGATAAAAAATATGCCTTTACTATTTTATTTTGTTGTCATCAAACAGAAAACTCCAAATCTAAAAATTCTCATGTAATTCCTATAGCCCAGGGGTTGGCAAACTTTTTCCTAGAAAGGACCAAAAAACAAATACTTTAGGCTTTGAAGTCATTTGGTCTCTGTTGCAACTACTCAGTTCTGTGGATATAGCATAAAGCAGCCATGTTGATGCATAAATAAATGGGCACAGTTGTTTTCCAGTAAAGCATTTTTTACAAAAACAGAGTGTAGGCAGCTTTGACCTGTGGGCTGTAGTTTGCCGACCCCTGCTAAACCAGAAGAGTTTACCCATAAACCTCCAAAAGGCCTGGACTTTGAGTCCGAGAAACTCAGCCACATTTTCTTGTTTGTTCTTTCACCATGATGTTATCATAACTCTTTGAGGAGGCTTAAAATAAAGGAAGTATGGGCCGGCCCCGTGGTTTAGCGGTTAAGTGCACGTGCTCTGCTACTGGAGACCCGGGTTCAGGTCCCGGGCGTGCACCGACACACCGCTTCTCCAGCCATGCTGAGGCCGCATCCCACATACAGCAACTAGAAAGATGTGCAACTATGATATACAACTACCTACTGGGGCTTTGGGGAGAAAAAAGGAGGAGGATTGGCAATAGACGTTAGCTCAGAACCAGTCTTCCTCAGCAAAAAGAGGAGGATTAGCATGGATGTTAGCTCAGGGCTGATCTTCCTCATGAAAATAAATAAAAAAATAAAGGAAGTATGTTAAACAAATTAATGGATAGAAAGGAGGAGGAAGGAGATTTGATGATCTTAATGGCTAACATACTTTGCTTCTAAGGATTCAAGCATGGTCCTTGTCATTCAGAAGCTTACAGAGTAGTAGTGGAAATAGCTTTTAATCAAATAATCAAAGAAATAAAGGAAAAACTGCAAGTGTGAAAAGGCAGAGGTCTATGATTCTGAGTGCACATTGAGCTTCCTTCACTTACTGGCTCTTGGACAGATATACGAGAATGAGCAAGAATTTACTAGTTTCTACTCTTTCTAAGCGAGGGGAAAGAATTTTAGGAAAAGGAAAAAGAATAAGAAAATCACCTAAAATCACTATGAAGGGATCGTATAGGGGGAACAATGTGCTTTTAAGAAACTTAAATAATACCAGTATTATTGAAGACGGAGAGAGAGAGAGAGAGAGAGAGATCAGAAACATATTGTGGAATGAGCCTTGAGAAGCAGCAGGATACTAAATTATGCAGAGTTTTGTAGATCTTATTAAGAAGTTTTTCTTTAATCTAAGAGCAAATGTGGATCCAGGCGATTGACATGGTCAAATTTGCTCTCTAACAAGATCACTCTCACTGATTGAGGAGTGATGGGGTGTGTCAAATGTGCTGGGGACAGGGGAACAAGGGATTGAGGTGGATGTTTGATTAGGATTGTGGAGGTGAATTGCATTGTGAGGGTTATGATGTCTTCTGGAAGACTTTTAGGAGGCAAATTCAACAGGACTGGGAGACAGATTGGATGTGGCATTTCAAAAATGAATAACTATAAGGGGCCAGCCTGGTGGGGTAGTCAGTTAAGTACACATGCTCTGCTTCAGTGGCCCGGGTTTCATGAGTTCAGATCCTGGGGGAGGATCTACACACAGCTCATCAAGCCATGGTGAGGCAGCGTCCCACATAGAGCAACTAGAAGGAGTAGTAATAATTGTGATATCCCAGTCTCCCTTGCAGATGGGGGGGTGGGGACATCAAATAATACTCTTGTAAATGAAATGTAAGCAGAAGCTGTTGGATGGACTTTCTGGAAATGATTGACTCAGCCAGCATGGGCCCACCTGCCTTTGACTTTCTCTTTCTTTCTGCATGGAAAGGGTATAAAGTGGATGAATCTCTAACAGCTTCTTGAAAGTGTGAAAGCAAGAGTGACACCTTAAAGATGAGATACAGTGAGCTAGAAAGACCCTGGATCCCTTACAACATGATGAAGCTAGCATGCCAGCCCTGCATATGATAGAGTTTCTTTATGTGAGAGAAAAATAAACTCCACCTTGTTAAAAACATTATTATTTGAGTTTTCTGTAACCTGAAGCTGAACCAATATCTAACTGATAGAGATGATGTTCATCATTTCATCATAGACTGACTGAATAAGCTGGGATAGAGCCTGATAATCAGATCTTCAAAGGTGCTCTAGGTGGTTCTGATACAAGTCATGTTGGTGGTTGAAGGTCTGGCGTTTGGGAACCTCAGCCCTATACAAACTTATCCCTTGCCCTCTCCCATCTTTTTCACCAAATATGCACATAAATACAAATTCCCTCATTTTGTCCATAAACACATTTTCAGTAGTATCAAAACTGTATTAAGAAAACTATATTCAGCATTTATTTATCTTACTAGGAACAAGAATAAATGGTTGGTAAATTGTTATGTATTTGATAATACAAGTACCCACTTTCACAAAACAACACTTCAGGACATGGTAGTGGAGAACACATACCTCTCCCTGGGATGGGGAAAAATTATGACTTTCTTGTAAGTTCCCATTTTACTAATGGAGAAATCGAGCCCTGGAAATCACACAGCTAGTAAATGGTAAAATCAGATTTGTCTCAAACACTCCAAAGATTCAGATCTTTATCTCTATTTTTACATAATATTTCCACTTCTCACCTTTGAAATGAAAAGTTTGGTTGAAAGAGTCCTAAGATGCTTTCTAATTCCAATGCCTGATGAATCTACTGTTTCCTATACAGGAATTAGAGGACTGTAAAAGTCATCTCATGCATCTCAAAGACCCACTGAAGTCTTTAGGGGCTTGTACGTACAACAGACGAGACCTCTAAAACTGAGAAGTCCCTCCTCATCCTCCACAGCTGTCCAGAGCCTAGTTTTTGGATAAAATTAGAGCTTGAAGAGTCTTTTGGGCTCATCAGTCCAAATTCTTCATTTCCAGTGAGGAAATCGAAGGCTGCTACATTGATGGTGTGCCTAAGGCCACGGAGCCGGGATTGGCAGAACTGAACTCGGCATTTTAGTTTCCCATTCAGAATCACATGCCCTTTGCCCTAGTCAAGGTGCTTCCAAAAAAATCACAAATTTGAGAGGGCCTCCCTTTCATGTTGCCAGCTATTTGTAGACTCTCCTCCGTGGGAAGACATAACTACCAATTCTACCCACTGCTGGGGCTCCTAAGAGGCAGCTCTGGCAGAGTTTGTGTAGGGGCTGCAGGTGCCTGGTGAACACTGTGCATCCACAGCACAGAAGTAAGCAGCAGCGTCTGCAGCCCGGGAAGCCCTGATGGACAGGGAGCTGCTTTTGCTGGAGGTGTCAAGCGTGACTCGTAGTCTCCCACTGTGTTTCTCTCTCTCATTTGAACGTATTAAAAACAGTAGGGCAAGGCCTCTACCTGCATCTTGTCTATACCACTGTAAGATGGTTATAGTGGTTTTATAACTGCAGTTCATGGTGGCATTCTCACCCTCCTGGACGCTCAGAGCCTGAAGATTCTGTTTTCCTTGTTGGCTGTTCACCCCTAGGCAGAAACACAGGCCAGAGATGAGTAGTTAGTCATTGCATTTTTACTCTCTAGTGTTTACATTTCCTTCCGTAATGTTCTGGTACATTTCCAAGTTAACAACGAGACTTTGCCCCTCAGTCTTATGGGCTCTGAATTTTGCTCACCCTGTTCCTGTCACCAAGAGCCCCAACTCACTGGCCAGTTGAAGCCATAGAATCACCAAAGACACTCCCAAGAGTTTCTCCATTCTTCTTTCTTATTGGGATCACAGAAGACTCAGATCTGGGGCCTGAAATGGAGCCAGGTTCCTCAGCCTAAAGAGTTAGCTCACTTTACGGGGTATATTTTATCAAGTCCCTCTAAATCCCAGAGAAAGTCTCAGGTTTCTTACCTAGCCAATTAGAGGCAAGCTCAACCCTTTGCTTTCAACACACACGGTGATTTCAAACCCAGTGAGTCTGAGGAGAGACACTGCCTTCTTGTGGTGCCTGTGATAGAATGTGCTCGGGAAAGGTGAAGTGCGTACAGAGCGGATTCAGACGAAGGTACAAAGCTCTTCTATTCTCTGCCTTCACTGACCTCCAGTTCCAGCCTAGAGTAAGAAGAGATACAGTTTAATTCGGGTAAGAATTCAATTAAGAAAGAATGTTGGTGCCCGGTACTTCTAGAATACCTCTGAGAAGCACTGTTAGGTTTCTTACAATCACCTCTGATAATGTATCTATGAGTTCCATTTTGTTTTCCTATTTGCCTAATGCTGGAATGAGATTGTTTATAAGTCAGGGTTCTTATTGGTGAGCAACAGAAACTGACTCTGGCTGAAATAAGTAGAAAAGGAATATGCTAATTAATATTGGCTTTGCCTCAGAATCTCCAATAGGGTCAGAGAACTGGACTCAAATCCGTTGAGTCAAGAACAATACAGAAAATCACTCTGGAGAATGTCCCTCTGAGTGTCCCACAGGCTCCTCTTCTGAGCTCCAGCCACTGCAGGCTGTGCCTTCAAGGCTGCAAGTACAGGACACTGTGTACAGCCGCACATCCACTGCCTCTGTTGCCCTGGAGCTATCATCTTCATCTTGTTGCAATTACCAGCAATCTTTCCTTTTCTGTCTAAGTAGCTCCTGAGTCAGAGTTTGGGAAAGATCATGTGTCCACACTTATCTGCACAGTAGGGTGGATATATGAGTGTATTAGTTTGCTAGGGCTGCCATAACAAACTGCCATTGACTGGGTGGCTTAAACAACAGTAATTTACTTTCTCATAATTTTGGAGGCTGGAAGTCCAAGATCAAGGTATCGCCAGATTTGTTTTTTTCTGAAGTCTCTCTCTGTAGCTTGCAGATAACCACCTTCTTGCCGTGTCTTCACGTGGTCATCTGTGTGTGTGTGTGTGTTGTCTGTGTCCTAATCTCCTCTTCTTATAAGGACACCAGTCATATAGGATTAGGGTCTACCGTAACACCCCCATTTTAACTTAATTACCTCATTAAAAGTTCTATCTCCAAATACAGTCACATTCTGAGGTACTGGGGGTTAAGATTCCAATATACGAGTTTTGGGGGGATAGAATCATCTCATAACAATGAGTATATGATATTTTCAGTCTCTATGGCAGGAGGCGGTAGAGTCCAAGAGACCAAGCTTTGCAGTCAGGCCATTGAGCTTGAGATTAGATCTACTTATTCAGTAGCTGTGTATGTCCTCTCTGCCTATATTCTCTTGGCTGTAAAATACGGATGATGAGTAATAATAATGCTACCTTTTTAGACTTGTTGAAGCTGTTGATAAGACAATAAAATGCTTTTTAGAGCAGGGTCTGCCACTTACTAATGACTCAAAAATTATTGTTGTTACGAGAAAATGGGTCCTGATGCTGAGAAGCCAAAAAGAATGGCAAACATTTTCTAGGGTATTTTGTAAATGTTTTCAAAAATTGATTTTAAGATATTCTGTGCATAAAATAGAGTGAGAGATGGGGAAGAGGAGAAGGAAAAAAAAAAACTTGCTTCTTCCTTGATGAAAGGAAGAAGGGAAGAGCTTGTTGGCTGGAGCAATGTATGGATTAGAGAGTGCTAAGAGATGAGTTGAGGAGATGGCTTGGGTTGCATGACTACCAGAATAAATCTGAAGGTTTGTCAGTAGGAAACAAAGAAGTATTCAAGCTTTTTGAGCAAGGAAGTGAGGTTATTTAAGAAAACTATTTAAGAAGTTTAAATTTTATTCTGTTGTGTGCTAGATAGCTTTGAAGATTGTGAGAAAATTTAGAATATTAGTTAAATGATGTCCCTTGGCTCTAAGAAATTAAGGGACTTGTCCACTGTCTCACAACAAAGAGGGCAAGAATCTAGTTCTCTTAATATTTTTATATATTTGGCTGTATATGCAAAAAGTATACCTAGGAGCAGAAAAAGAAACCAGAAACATTGCTGTCCTCTGGGAAGGAGAACTGTGAGGTTAGCTAAGTGGAGTGAAAGGGAAACTTTTCATTGTACCTTTTGAATTTTAAACCATGAGAATTCATTTCTCATTCAAAAATGAAATAAATGAAAAAAATGTAACAAATAGCCTTTATTCCAGGAACTCAAAGATGATTCAACATTAGAATACCCATTAAAATAATTCTTGAAGTGGAAAAAAGCAAAATCCATATAACTTTGCAAAATAACAAAAAATAGTAAACTTCAAAATATATTCCTGATACAAAGTCTCAATTAGTTAAAAATAAAATATCTAATCTTGTTACAAGATAAGCACATCTGTTCGAAAAACTATTAGCAAATGTAAATACTCAATAGTCAAAAACAAATGTCATTTATTTTAAAATTAAGACAAAGGAAAAGGTTACTCATAAATACTCATTAAACAATTTCCCAACAATAACCTTATAACAGTATAATATAAAAGATTCTATTCATAATACCACAAACAGATTTAAATATCTAGGAAGAAACTTAAGCAAACTAAGAAAACTAAAAGCTTTTATAAGAAATATAAAACAAAGAGGAAATGTGTATTTTTATACATTAGTAGAAATTAATGTCAATTTTATAAAGTTCATACTACTTGAAAAATAATTTTTAAATTTAATATAATATTAACCAGAAAAACAAAGGATTTTCAAACTAAAGCAGATTCAAGAAGTTTATCTTTCATAGATCCTTTAGAAAAATAATCTGGAGAGGTAGCTTTTTTTCCTTTCTATCTGAAATTTCAAGAATTATTCTCTTTATATATAGGAATCCTAAATGGTATTAGGACATGTCTATGTATTAGTGCAGTCCTCCATCGCCAATCCTACTAGACAGTTTATCAGCCCTTTCAGTGTAACACTCAATTTTTTTTATCCCAAATAAGTGGTAAAGTCTTATAATCTTCAAGTTAGACAAAGAAAAAAAAATTACCTACCAGAAAAAGAATCAGATTAATTTCCACTGAAACAGTAAGTGTTAGAACAGCACTTCTCAAATGTATGTCTGCGGATCACTGGAGGATCCCAAGAATCTTTCAGGTGGTCTGCAAGGTAAAAACTATTTTTAATAATAACATTAAGATATTATTTGGGTTTTTCACTGTGTTGACATTTACATTGATGGTGCAAATGAAATTGCTGACATCTTAACACAAGTAAAAATCAGTGACACCAAAATGTGTTAGCAGTTGTTGTATCTACTCATCACCACCACATACTTGCAAAAGAAAAAAAAGTTTTACTTAGGAATGTCCTTAATGAAGAAGAAAAAAAAAATATTGTTAAATCTTGACCGCTGTGTATACATCTTTTTAATATTCTGTGTGATGAAATAGGAAGGACACATAAAGCATGTCTCTGATCTACTATCTATGATGGCTGTCGCAAGGAAAAGGATTGTTACCTCTTACGTTTATTTTTACAATAATTTGCTTAACATTCCTTTCATGAGTACACATCGTGTGCTGAAAATTGTGTTAGAAAGTTAGATAAAAACCAGAGAGAACACAATAGCTGTTCCCCGGAGCCTTCAGCCCAATAGGAAGAGGAGGCAGGGTAAAGTTTTAACGCACTGTGACAGACGTCAGGGTGAAAATAGCTACATTGTACATTTGTAAGAAGGGAGGGTGAGGGTGTAGCTCCAGAAGTCATGAGATGCTTAAAATATAAAAAGCCAATTGAGCTGGAAATTGAAAAATTAGTAAGTGTGATGATAAGCGTCACAACAGTTCAAGGACTTGTCTCCTCAGTGAAGTTTCTAGGGGTACAATGGTCTAGAGAATGTTGATATGTTACCTCCAAGGTGAAAGACATGTGGCTGTGCCTCACATCATCTACCACAGAAAAAGAGGCACGACAGTTGGTAGGATTTTTTGGATTTGGGAGGCACATATACTGCATGTGGGTGTGCTGCTTTTGCCTATTTGCAGAGTCACCTATAAAGTTGCCATTTTTGAGTCTGGACCAGTGCAAGAGGAAGCTGTACAGAAAGTTCAGGCTTCAGTGCAATTCACTTTACTACTTTGGTGTTGTGATCCAGCAGATCCAACAATGATCCTTGAAGTTTCCATGGCAAATAGGATGGAGACTTTGGGAAACACCAGTAGGAGAATCACAACATAGTCCTCTAGCATTTGGGGGAATATATGGCCTTTTCTTCAAATAACTATTCTTTTTTTGAGAAACAGTTTCTGACTTGCAAATTGACTTGGCGAAATCTGAACATTCAACTTAGGAAAAACAAGTGACCATGAAGCTTGAACTTCCATTGTGAACCAAGAGTTGTCTGACCTACTTACCCACAATGTTAGTCACGCCCAGCAGAAATCTATCATCAAATGGAAATAATATATAAGCGATTGGGCTCAAGCAGACCAGAAGGTACAGGTAAGTTGCATGAGTAAGTGCCTCAGATTCCTTTGACACCAACTTTTCTAGTATTGTCTACTCTTCCTGAATCCATACCCCTAGCCTCCTGGGGAGTTCGTTGCAATCAGTGAACTGAGGAAGAAAAAAATCAGGCCTACTTTTCATATGGATTTGCACATTATATTGCTACCACACAAAACTAGCACTATAGCCTCACTGAAGGACAATGGTGGAGGAAAATCCCCTGAAAACATCACATGGTACATTTGATTTTCCATTTTATCTAGAATGAGAGACAGCTAGAAGTACTGCTATACATTGATTCACGGGCAGTTGCTAATGGTTTTTCTGGATGGTAAGAGACTTGGAAAGAACAGGATTGCAAGACTAGTGACAAGGAAATCTAGAGAAGAGGTGACTGGAAGGACTCCTAAGAATGGGCACAGACTATCAAGATAGTTATGCTCCATGTGAATACTGACCAAGGCAAAAACCACTACAGTGGAAACTCTTAATAATGAACAAAATGATAAACTCTATGGATGTGTCAACATCTTTCCCCAGCCACTCCAATGCTTGCTCAATGATTCCATGAACAAAGTGGACTTGTTAGCAGGAATAGAAGTTATGCATAAGCTCAAAAGTATTGACTTCCCCTCATCAAGTTTGACCTAGCTAATGCTACTGCTGAGTGCCTAATTAGTCAACTACAGAAACTAATGCTGAGCCCCTGATATGGTGTCATTCCCCAGAAGGACTGCCCAAACACATGGTAACAGGTTGATCGCATTAGACCTCTTCCATGATGGAGATGGCTGAAATTTGTCCTCAGTGGAATCTGTATACTTGCAGATGTGTTTGTCTTCCTTGCTTGTAATGCTTCTGTCAGCAACATTTTCATGAACTCACAGAATGCCTATTCTCATCAAGATATTCCCCATAGCATTTCTTCTGATGAAGGAACTATTTTTACAGCAAAGGATTACAGCAGTGTGCACAAGCCCACGGAATCATCCAGTTTTACCATTTACCCCCTTACCCAAAAGTGGCTAGCCTGCTGAAATGTAGAATGCCTTATTGATTCAGTTATGTCACCAGATGGAAAACAATTCCCTGGAAATATGGGATTCTGTCTTACAAGATGCAATATATGCTTTATATCAGAGACCATTATATGGTGTTGTCTCACCCATAGCCAGAATGTTTGGGTCCAGGCATCAAGGAAGTGTCCTTGGGAGTGGATCCTCTCACTGTTATTACCAGTAACTCACTAGCAGAATTTTTGCTTCCAGTCGTTGTAACTTTGATCTGTGAGTGTTTGGAGGTCTTATTCTCTAAGGGGAAAAATGCTTCCACCAAGGGACACAACAGTGGTTCCATTGAATTGGAAGATGAAACTTCCATGTGGCCATTTTGGGCTACATATGTCACTGAACCAATGAATAGAACAAGAGATTACTTTACTGACTGGAGCGATTGATGCCAATTACCAAAGAGAAATTGTGTTGCTGCTACATAACAGATATAAAGAGGACTGTCTGGAACCCAGGGGATTTTCTGGGGGAACCTCTTGGTGCTTTCATGTCCCAAAGTAAATGTTAATGAAAAATTACAGAAATAAATAAAACGGCAAGATTGTTGAGCACTCAGACTCTTTGAGAATGAAGATTTGGGTCACTCCACAAGATAAATAACCCAATCCACTGAGGTTATGGCTGAGGGCAAGGGAAATACAAAATGTGTAATAAAAGAAATAAGCTGTCTATGTCACTTGCAGCCTCATAACCAAATCTGGAATCAAGGAATGTAGTAGATTTCTATACTCTCTTTTTGTTCGTTATATGTGTGTGTTCTTTTGTATATGTTGCCATTTTCTTTTTCTCTCTCACCATAATTATTTTATATAAAAATTGTCAGAGATTAACTTTACAATTTAGTCTGCATTTAAATTCCACTGCAGATTCGGTGAAACTTCCTTGACTGTTGGGACTATGTTTTTAGGAGTCTCCTCATTTTGGGGAAAGGGTGAGAACTTCTTCACTTGTTCAAAGGATAGCTTTAGCTTTTTAGATGGAAACATAGAGTCATTTCACTGTTGTTTGGAAGTTCAAATGTGTGGAGGGGTGCCTATGAAAGACCAATAATCAGTAGGATGCCAGTTATCAATTTATTGACTTTCAATTCCAAATCCCCCCCTTTGTTGCCCAATTTGCGATTCTGGACCTGGACCTTGTACACATTTCTCCCTTGCTGGCTGGCATGATATTAAGCTTTGTCAGTAGAGAGAACTGGAAGGACACTGTAGGAGGAAGAGGCTTCTCTTCCTGGTTCTGGCATGTTTTCCTACCTTCTTGTTCCTGCAGTGCTTGGCCAGCCTGTGGGACACCAGTGACACTCACCTCCAGCAAACTTCAGTGACCACAGGTGGTTTCTTGGCAAGTTTCATGAGCACCCCAAGAAAGTTCATCAGCACTCCTTTTCTGGTTCCTATAAATTCTGTTGAAACCCTGGTGGATGTTTTCTTGCTTGGCAGCCTTTGTCTCTGGCACCTGAGCACACTTCTCCACCAACCAGCAGGCTACAGCCACACACAGTCCCCAGTGAGGTCTGAATCATAGATTCATCAGGAGAATCTCTGCTGCTGGGGAACATGGTATGTATTACAATGTGTTACCTACTTTGGAACTCTGGCTTAGTCCCAGAGCTAAGAGCTTCTCCCTACATATGCTATTCTTATGTTCTTTTGAGTTCTTTTTACTCATTTGTAATTAATTCTCCATTCTTAGTTAATAATTCTTTACATTAAACTTTCCTTGTTCATATTGCTGTTTTTTTTTTTCTCCTGATTCCACCTTGATTGAGATAGTAGGAGTCCGTGAAGTGCATAACAGGAAAGGCATTAGATGCAGAAAGATCAGCAATCACACGTCATGAAACATTACCATACTTTTAAGGAACTGAACTTAAGTATATGGTGGTGAACACATGTGGGGGTGGATGGGCTGGCAGAGGAGTTGGAGAGGTGGGACCATAGCACTTAAACCTGGGGGGACCCAGGTTCTTTTCTGGGCCAAGAAAAGACTTTTTTATGCTGTGCTATGCAGTTTTTATTTCAAAATTATTTTTTCCAGGTACAACTAGACAGAATATATACACTTACTATTTTTAAAACTAGTTATGCAGGGTAGGTAATGAGAATTTTCTTGGAGAAATTTTTGAGGTTAATCTATAGCTAACTGACAACTGATGATATAGGATCTAAAAGGTAAACTCAATGTCAGTCTCTAGAGGAAGAATGCCCCTCTGTGGCCATATGGAGAATTTACAAAGAAATATTCTCTTTAACTCCCTAAAGGGTTTGTGCTCTGCCTCCCTTATAAAACCAGTCACTGTGGCACTCAGAGCACAGTAATATACGGCTGAGTCTTCCTCTTGAGCTGATGGTTTCTTCAGATGGAAGGACCTATCACCCTTGTTAAGATCAGCCGTGAAACCTTTGATGGTCTCTCTTGAGATATGTTTCAGGAGTAACTGGAGGCCTTGTTTGGGGTACTGGACATACCAGAAGAGATCAGGACTCCCAGAATACGAGTAGTTGCACTTCACCTGCACCGGGGCCCCTTCGAAGACAGACATGTGGTCCTCAGGCTGAGTCACTGTCTGGGGACTTGTTTCTCCTGTAACACCAATTCTGAATCAGGGAGAGTCTTGCAGACTGAGGACAATATTTCTTTAAACTGATTCTAGATCAGAAGACCATAGAAAGACAGAATAAAAAGAGACTTTACTCACTGAGTGTGAATATCATCACAAGCACTGAGATGAGGATGGGCTTCATGTCTGAGCTGTGAGGAGACAGGAGGCTCTTTTCTGGAAACAATTCAGCCACATGGACACTCAGACAGAGTGGTGAGTGAGTTTACTCAGCGGTAAAGCAAAAGCTCTTCCTCAAAGGGCTGGTTGCTTTCTGGCTTTCTACCAAGTTCATTTGTGTACCATCTTCCTCTAGAGGCCAAATCTGATACTGCAGATAATCTCAGGCTTTAGGAAACTTTGAAATTCTCAAGTAGATTGGAGAGGGATTTCCTCCACAGTTAATAAGACAAAGTGTAATGCTCTACTAATTGAAAAGTATGTTATTAAAAAGGTCCAGATAGAGAGATCAATGGAACAGAACAGAAAGTCCAAATATAAAAATTACTTATGATAATTTAGTTATAATAAAAATGGAGAAAAGATGGTATATTCAGTAAAATGTGCCTTCATGAAAGGAGAGTCATTTAGGAATTAACAAATAAATTTGGATGCCTACCTTAATATCTGTTACAAAATAAAATCCAAATGAAATAATATTTAATATTTCAAAATAAAATAAAAGATAAGCTTTTTAAAATAAATTTAGGATAGTCCTGGATTTTCTAAGCATGACAGAAAGCATAAGGGAAAATATTGATAGATCACACTTCATAGAAATTTAAATTTCTGTACAGGTACGTCAACGAAATGTTTACACAGTACCAGATGAAGCTATTTTCCACCCACCATCATTCATTCTGAACTTCCTCAAATTGGGAAGTGGCCCTTTAAAATTTTAGTTTTACGAGTTTATTTTAAAAAAAAACTAGGCCATAAACAAGGGAACAATCATTTGGCCTATGAAGATGGTAGAAAGATGGCAGAAAGAAAGATTTCTAGAAAGATGATCTAGAAAGATGGTAGAGTGACAATGTCTCTGATCCCCTATGCTCAGCCAAGGAGCTTCTGTGGTCACCAGCCAGGCTATGACGAGAGCTCAAGTGAGGTATCCCATTTGGGGGGGTTATAATTAAATCTGGGGTCTGGTAGCAGGGAACTCCAGGATAAAGAGAAGAAAACTATGGATCATGGAGGGAGCTTGACCTGCAGAGCTCAGTGGACCTCTAAGAAGGAAACTCATTCTCTTGAGAAGCCTCTCTTCTGGGCCCCAAATAGCTGAGAGGAAAGTCACAGGTAGGCTGAGTCACATATGTCCTCCATGAGGAGGAGTACAAGGACATCAAAGAGCAAAGAGATTTCCTTCTAGTTTTTCAGTAGGGTGCTGATATTGCTGCTGATATCCATGACCTGCTGTCTGCTACACTGCTGACCACAGGCACAGAAACATCTAGGCTTTTCTGTCTCACGGGATTGCCTCCACTTAAAGTGCCCCAGTAATCAAACATGTCAGGAGGGGAATGAAGAAAGGGAGAGGATACCTCAAAGAGAAACAGGGCTTCATCTGGGTCAAGTATAGCCTTAAAAAATTATCAGAGTCAGTGACCCAATTTCCTTAGCCAAAAATCAGGACATACAGTTTGAAAAGTGATTGAGAACTCATCTACAAGAAAGCCCTCATGAAGGAAGCATATCTCACTGAAAGCATGGTATACTTATGTAATGTAATGTAATGTAAATACAATTAAATGAAATTAGGAGAATTCTGTAAACCTCAGCCTTATGGTCATCATGAACAAATACAATATCTCTAACAAGACTTTGGTTGACACACAGAGAAATAGGACATGTATACAATGGCCACCTGACCTCATGTCCATCTCCTTTCTCCTGTTCAACAATTTCCCCTGCACCTTGCAGGTACACCTGCCTGAGTCTGCTCTGTGACTGTGAAGTACAGGCCACAATTCAAGTAATTGTGTCCTATTTCTTTCTCCCCAGTATCTCTTTTCTTTTCTCTTTTCCCCTCTTTCTCTACATATATTTATTATTTTTCTCTCATTTCACATTTTCATCCCCTTTTTTCTTGTTTTTTTTTTTTAATCTCAGAAGAGGTATAATAGAAGGTAGAAATCATTGCAATAATTTTTAAGTGAGAGTATAGTCTCACACTCCAGAATTTTTAGTCATGAAAATCAAAAGTGCAAGTAGGTAATGTAGATATTTTCTTCAGGAGATTTCAGCTTTACCATGACCCTAGTTATGTTCAGTTGTGCTTGGAGAATCACCTCTGTTGCACTCATCAGAGTGGCAGACCTTCCTTGCAAATGAATATATGGAGACTTCTCCTGTTCTTATAGTATATGACTAGTACAGATGCTCCTCTAACTGCTGCTAAACCCCATTCAAATTTTCACTAACATATAAGTATCTCAGAAGTTGAGAAAAAAGTTCCTCATTTGGAGCAAAGCTCTGGAGAGCCTCCTAATGGTCTAAAACTGTCAGGCCAACTATTCATCAGCCATCACCAGAATCCCAGAGCCTTCATTCCATTCTCTCCGGAGGACCATCTACAGATTATCAGGAGCAAAAGAACTCTCGGGCTGCATGGGGATTTTTTTTTTCAGTAAACTTGTTTCTTCTTCAAAATGCCATTTAATGCAGATTACCATCTTAAAATCTTTTGTCAAATTGCATTTTTAGGGTAGAGTGTGATTTCTCCAATCTATTTCAAACTAAGTCCACAGCAATTTATTGAAGGTCTTCTATAAGCTAGATCTTGTGCTAGATTTCAAGAAATTAAAAGATAAATGAAAAATGATCTCTACCCACAGACATTGCAGCATGATAAGAAAGACAAATGTGTGTGTGTATGTGTATTGATATACGAAGTGGCCCCCCAAAATGAACCCAGAAATAAGAAAACATTTTTTTGTAATAGAGGACATTTAGACAAAAATTTAATAAGAACATGATGATTTTATCTTTTTCCTAGAAATGATAGAAAGGAATGTTATCAAGAGATGAAGGAGAGATATTCACTTGGGAGTGGAACAGAGACACTTCCTAGATGAAAATGAAAGAGGCAGAGATAGATGGAGATGTAGAAAGAAGTTCGGGGATATGAAGTATAATGGCCTAATCTTTGTTATTAATTTATCATTTTAAAGGGCATATAATTCTTTATATATATGTATATAAAAATTTTTATCTGACTACATTGTCCAAATGCATAGCAGCTTGCAACTTGAGTTATGGTACTCGATTATACGTCCTGATGACCTACTGATGTTAACACATCTGCTTCATAATAGTCTGTAGAATAGATTTATTCTGATTCTTTGGCCATTCTGTGAGAAAAATCTGTGTGTTTCTTTTCCTTTTTTCCACTATTACCAACCCCCACCCGCCACCAAATGCTGCAATAAATGTTTTGAGCACGTCTCCTTAGCAGAGGCCAGTATGAAGTGAAGGAGTAAACGATGCAGCTACCTGGGGTCAATGCACTCCAGGTGGAGGAATGAACAGCTGCAGAGACCCTGGGGCAGGACAATGATTGCCATTTTATAGCAACAGCAACTGCATGAGGCTGGAGAGACTTATCAAAGGGAGAGACAGCAGCTGATGTCAAAGAGGTGGCAGGGAGCCAGATGGAGTAGAGCCTTGTAGGTTGTAGTAAAGAATTTGGTTTTTATCTGAGTGAGATGGGAAACTGGTGAGTTGTGAGCATAGAAACCACATGATCTGAATTATATTTTCAAAAGATCAGTCTGCTAGGTGGAGAACAGACTGAAGAGGGGCAAGAATGAAAGAAGAGAGATCAGTGAGGGTCATTGCCATCAACCCGCCAAGAGATGAGAGTGCCTTGGATCAGGGTGGGAGCCTTGGGGTCATGAAAAGTGGTCAATTCCAGGTATACTTTGAAGGAATAGCTGATTGGATTTCCTAATGGATCAAATAAGGGTATGGGAAAAATTGAGAAGACCCAGGTGACATCAACGTTTTTGGCCAAGGAGATTAGAGAAATTGGTAAATGGAATTGCCTTTTACCTAAATGAGGAAGAGTTCACATGAAGCAGGTGTGAAGTAAACAGGGCTTAGGAGCTGAAGGGGTCGAAATCAGAGATCATCTTCAGAGGATTAAGAAGGAGATGTCAAATAGATCATTTCATACACGAGTCCAGAAATTAGAGGAGCCCATCTGGGTTTCATATATATATATATATATATTTTGGTAATTAAATGTTTTTTAAAGCTAAGAGACTGGATGGAATCAGCTGGGAATAAAGTATTGGTAGAGAGTATAGAGAGTAAAGAGTTCGAAGAATAAATTCCTGAGACATTTTGATGTTCACAGACCAGAAAGATGAAGAATAAACCAGCAAACGAGATTGAGAAGGAGCAACTGACAACATAGGAGGAGAATCAAGAATGAGTTGCTGATTCTCTAAACCCAAATAAAGTATTTCAAGAAGGAAGTGTTCTATAATGTCAAATGTTGTCACTCTTTGCTATGGAGTGAATGTCTGTGTCCCCCAGAATTCATATGTTGAAACTCTAATCTCCCAAAGTGATGGTTTTAGGAGGTGGGGACTTTAGGAGGAAATTAGGTCATGGAGGTGGGGCCCGTATGAGGGTATTGGTGCCGTTATAAGAGACACAATAAAGCTCGCTTCTCTCTGTGCTCTCTGCCATGTGAGGATACAACTAGAAGTCATCAGTCTGCAAAATAGAAGAGAGCTCTCACCCAAACCCAAACATGCTGGCACCCTGATCTCAGAATTCTAGCCTCCAGAACTGTGAGAGATAAATTCCTGTTGTTGATAAGACACCTAGTCTATGGTACTTTGGCCCAACTGACTAAGATGTTACTCCAAGTAAGACAAGTTAAAAATACTAGCTGTACCAATAAATGCGTGTATATATAAATACAAAAAGGCTAAATTTTCCTATGGATACAGAGAGTCTGTATCATTTCAAAATCTGGTTCTCTACTGCTTAAGAGGCACAATAAAATAAAATTAAATGACAAAGAAAGTTAGAAGCATATGATCGAGCTGCCATAGAGTGGCTGCCTCCACTCAGCACCACGACCACTGCGAGCCCCACATTCAACAAGATGCCCAGATGGAAGGTCGGTTCTGGTGAAGGACAAGGGAAGGAGGAGCCCGGAGGAGAATGTGAGAATCTTGTCCCTGGAAGACGTGATCGAAGCAAAATTAAAGGACCATAAAAGGCATAATCACAAGACAAATCTTCAGTCAGAAAAACTCCAAACAAAAATGAAAAGGGGA